AACTGTACCACGGGAAGGGCGGCCTCTACATCGGAAGAGCAGTTTTGAAGAACAACGTCTTCGTCCTCGATTTCGTCCCCGACCTTGGCACTGCAGATACCGACGCCATCGTCAACTTCGCCGATTGGACACATCTCCGGATCTCGATCCTGACTTCAGCCCGGGAGGTTTCTGGTACTCGCACACCATCCTTGAAGCAGAACGAACACGAGCGTTAGCAACAATTCAACAAACGGCAGTAGCAGAGACAACATCGTCAGCAGCAGAAACATCATCGGCAGCAGCAGGACCAACGACACCAGTCATCGTCGACAAAGCACCACCAACACCCGCACAGCAACTGAACCCGACTCAACGAGAAGTCCACAGAAGCGCCAATGTCGTCGCCAGCTTCTACTCCAACTTCGACGCGTATCAACGCTCACCCGGACATCGCGCTCCTGAAGACATCTGGCACGCACGCACAGGACATCCAAGCAATACAATATTAAATAACACAATACGAGCAAGAGTCCTCGACAAAGATTCGCTACTACTACCCGACGGCAGAGAACTTCAACGGGCACGAGGAACTTGCCTCATCTGCCCTGAAGCCGACTTACCCCATCGACCGTTTTCTTCTCACCACAACCCGAGCGCACCTGCATACGCACCACTCGAGAAAGTATACAGCGACATCCTCTTCAATCGAGAACCAGGACAAGTCACCTACAATTACACGATAACCTTCATCGACGCCGCCACTCGATACGTCTGGCATCGAAACCTACCCAGCCGCGATATGGCACTCGCAGCGTTCGCCGCTTGGCTACCGGTAGCAGAGAGGGAGTCAGGAACACAGCTGAAAAGCTTCCAGTCAGACAGAGGAGGAGAATACACCTCTCAGCGCTTCAAGCATTACCTAGCGGAAAGGGGAATCAAGCAACTCCTCTCCCTTCCCTACGCCCATCAGCAGCAAGGTGTTGCAGAAAGAATGAACAGGACTCTGCAGAACAGCATGCGCAAACTGCTACGTGGCATGCGGCTACCCAACTGTCAGTAGATCTGCACTGTGGATGCCCGATTGATCCTGGAGAGGGTTACAGGCACGTTGGCCTGGGGGGTTATGGGCGCACTGACCCGCAACTGAAACAAGCCCTTTTATCCCAATGGTCTAGTGGTTGGGATTCTGACATGGTATCAGAGCGGTCTCGGGTTCGATTCCCGGTGTATGCACATGTAGGTCGTTGCCGCTGTGCTTAGTCCTGGGCCTCCCAGTGTGGGGGGGTGTCAGTAGATCTGCACTGTGGATGCCCGATTGATCCTGGAGAGGGTTACAGGCACGTTGGCCTGGGGGGTTATGGGCGCACTGACCCGCTACTAAAACAAGCCCTTTTATCCCAATGGTCTAGTGGTTGGGATTCTGACACCAACCACCAGTGGCCTGCAGCAATGGACCATGCTATCATGCTGCACAACTTGCTGTCGTCGTCGTCACTCCCGAACAACGCATCACCGCATCTGCTGTGGACAGGAAAGCAGGGCAGCACAAGAATGTTACGAGTTTTCGGATGCATGGTGCAGTACCGACCCCCAGAAGCACGAGCGGGAAGATTTTTCACAACGGGCACAGTGGGGACTACACCTCGGCATCGAGAAAAATTACAACGCGTGGAAAATTTTCGATGTCCACTCAAAGGAAACAGTAGCAGCAAGTGATGTGATCTTCTACGAGCGACTCACCCTTCAAACGTACCTCGCCAACTTGCACGAGAATCAGGACCCCACAGGTGGCTTTCGTGGTGACCGAGCCTTCGCCTCAGCAGCGGACGAAGCAGACTGGGACGAGCAGAACGTCGACAACGCATTCGAAGAAGCCGGACCTTTCCCGTTCTGCTCCGTCAACGTCCCCATGGACGAAGAAAACCCTCGCGAAAGTGCCAACGCCGCAGTTTTCTATCACTTCGCCGACAACGGTTACGTAACACCTGCGACAGTCAACACAAACGAAGCAGAACGGATAGGGCCAAATTTCATACCCGATCCAGAAGCGGGAGACGAAGCAGCTTATCCCGAGGATCCAACACTCCCCCGATACTCACAGACTGGACTGCAAATCCTCGGCCTCGTCACCGCAGTCCACGGCAACGCACTTCCTAAGGAGCCTGCGACGGTTTCAGCAGGCTCTGGGGGGGGGACACAGGGAAAAATGGCGTGAAGCCATGGACAGAGAATTAAAAGCGCTGGAGGAACGTAACACCTGGAAAGTCGTTCCCGTAAGCGTGGCAAGGAACAAGACCATTCTCACCGGGAAATGGGTCTTCTGCATCAAAACGAAAGCAGACGGCACAATCAAGAAGTTCAAAGCACGCTGGGTCGTGCGTGGATTCGACCAAGAGCAAGGACGAGACTTCACCGAGACATTCGCCCCAGTTAGTCGACATACCTCTCTTCGAATTCTTCTCGCCGTTACCGCCATGAAGAAGAAGAAACTGCGACAAATCGATGTCGCCAACCGCATTTCTCTACGCACCCGTCGACGCCGAAATCTTCGTCGAACTCCCACACGGTACCCACGGAAACCCCAATCAGGTCTGCCAGCTACTGAAATCGCTCTACGGAATCAAACAAGCCCCGCGGCTGTGGCAACAGCACCTACACACCCGACTCACTCGCGTCGGATTCCGCCAACTGCCGCACGACCAAGGAATGTATCGATTCACTAAAGACGCCGATTACATCCTATTGATCGTCTACGTCGACGACCTACTCTACATCGGCTCGACCGACGACATCACCACCTGGTTCGAAGGGGAGCTGCAGAAGGACCTCACGCTCACGGTTTCTTCTACCGTCACCCAGTACCTCGGGCTCAACATCCGCGAAGAAGAAAATGCTATCTACTTAAGCGCCGAGAAATACGCCGACACTATCGCCAAGCGCTTCTCGCTCACACCTACCGCTATCGCCACGCCATACCGCTACACGGCAGGAAGTAACAAAGGAAATTCCACTCCACTCAAAGCTGCCAAATACGAGACTACCAGAGGAAACCTGGGCTGCCTCCTCTTCGCAGCCCGTCACCTGCCGCCCGGATCTATCCTACTCCGCAAGCCAACTCGCTACCTACCTCAAGAAAACCTGAAGCAGAGCACCTGGCGGAGCTCGATCGCGCACTACACTACTTTCGTGAGCACTCCGACGATCGGCCTGACTTACTACAAAAACGAAACTACGACCACGAAACTAATCGGCTACGTCGATGCCGATCATGCCGGCGATTCCGACAATAGGCGCTCTCGCACTGGCTACGTCTATCGTCTCGAGCCTATCGGACCTATCTCCTGGCAGTCGAGCAAGCAGGAACTAATCGCTCTCTCTTCAGCTGAAGCAGAATATATCGCCCTCTGCTCAGCCACAAGGAAGGACTCTACCTTCGCGAGCTGCTGGAAGAAGCAAAGTAGCCGAGTTACCCAACTTCACCCTATTCTGCGACAACCAATCTGCAATTCGCATCGCCAACAAAAGCGATACTTCTTCGTGAAAGACGAGATCGAGAAAGGGAAACTCGAATTATCCTACTGTCCCACGTCCGAGATGGCAGCCGATTACTTGACCAAGAACTCGGAAAACAGAAGTTCGAGTACTGCATGCTGCTGACTGGACAAGGCCACGTCACCATTAGCGACACTCCAGAAGCGAAGGGGAGTGTTGGGAACAATAAGTCTTAAAGCGCCTCTGTCGTGTCGAAACTCAGGACACAAGCGAAGCAGTCCAAATCGAAGCATCGCAAGTCAACCCTCGGAGGTTAGGGTAACCGCCTGGAGGTTACGCGAAGGTCAAAAGTCAGCGACCTTTGACTTGACAAATACAGCGCGACAGCAAGGACACACAACTGACTCGACATTGAGCAGTTGCCCGAGTCGCACTGTATCGAATCGCAACAGCAAAACAGTTTAATTATATCTATTCGTATTCCTTGTACTCTTATATAAAGCCTTGTATTTGCTTGTTTTAATCAACTCACTTTGCCCTCACATACTAGCGCAAGGTGGTTCAAGGACTTTTCATTCAAACGCTTCCGCTATTACAATCTACTCAGACTTTAACTCTACAAAGATCCTAGGGCATCTCAGCCCAACAACATGGAAGCAATGGTTCACCAAGCTAGCAAAATAAATGGATAGAATAATTTTTGTCGTGATGATATTATGTGTTTTTTTCTTATTATGAGTCAAAATTCAATCCATAGAATGGTTTTTTCAGTATATAGACAAATGTACACCAATCAGTAAAATAGTACAACTAGACAAGATGAGACACATAACAAAGTTAGTGAGTCACTGCTATATGTTATACTACGCTATGAGTTGGGCTGGTCAGTCTGACGCACACATTCGTAGCAGGTGATACTTTACTGAAGCATTTGGGACACGACGGAGATCCCGTCCTGAATTTGGGAGACTATCTGTGGCCACAGACACCTTCAAAAGGATGCTGGGGCTCTAGAATGGCACAGGTGAACTCAATGGATCCTTCTGATTCGGGAGTTTGCGGATGGTCGCCACGTCAACTGTGACAGCAAACATTGACGCATCTCCTACCCTTCAAATCGATGCCTCGATCTCTCCGTCCTTACCTCGCTTTGTTCGCACGGCAGAGCATTAGCGTTGGCGCCACATCAGCTTCAGGTCGTATTCGCAATTCACCTCTCCAGGCTCTAGCTCCTGTAGCTTATAATTCCCTCGACAGATGCGATGATTTCTCAACCCTACCTAACCGCAATCAACGAACTCTTTGAATACGCTACCCTCCACAAAGGCAAATTTGAGACACATCCGTTTTTTCTGAACACGTCCTCAAATCCAATTTCCATCACCACTTCATTTTGTGCTGTGAGGGGCATTGTACGGAGTTCGCAAACTACCTCTGTTGTGTCTCTTACACCAGGCAGCATCAGCGGTTTGACGGACGGAGGGAGTAAATTCGAGCACTCACAAGGTCATTAGGCTCGTCACGCCATGGCGACAGTGCAATCATCTGGCCTGTCGAGCCTTTTACGGGGAAGCCTCCGCCCGGAGCCACGGGTGAGCACTGATCATAAATTCACTTCTCTTCAGTTCCACTCTTTACTGTCGCGATAAACTTCTGGCTAACTCATTTACATTACCTCGCTCCATAATTATTCCCACGATTTCTACTCCAGATCGCTGTGAAGAGCTCTGCCGGTCCGACTCCGTCGTGCCATAAGAGGCTTGCGGTGTGCAACATTCGCGCTCGAGCCGACGGTAGAAGCAGGTCCGGAAGATTTGCCGCTTCCTCCGCAGCAGCCGCATCCAGCACCTGTAAGAAGAGTTGCTAGTTGAACTCAAAACAAACTCAATGAAACTTCGAACGCGCTTTCAGAGAATACTGTAAGACTACAGGTTTCACAATGAAACCTGTACGCCTTGATTTGCTGTGGTTACATTCGAGTGGTCACCTTTGGTAGCTACTGCGAGGGGCTTGGAAGTTCCTGGTGCAAGTAGTGGGTGAATGCGTTAAACAACGGCGGCACTGTTGATGGATTCGGCGTCAATTCGCGCAAAGGAAGTAGTAGGGCCCTATAGATGCATTCACTCGTCAGTCTGGAGTGGATGTTGTCGAATTAGCATTCACTCGTTCAGCATTTTTCCACTGAGCGTTATCCTCACATACACTGAAACCATCTCTTCCCACTCATCAGTTCAACTCCTCCGTTCTTGCCTCCCGATGAACCCTTCCTCGATCCCAACCTCCTCCCGTACTCACCTCCCGTCGTCCCTTTTCTCGCATCCCCAACCTTTCCTCCCTGGCTTCTGTTCCATTTCCCCCCATCCCCCTCCCCATACCTCTCCTTCCCCTCCCCTCCGCATCCCCCACATCACCCCAGCGCTCATCCCCGCAGCGGCAGCCCTTGCCTCGGACTCGCCCACACCCGATACCGTCGCTACCGTCGCAGATGCGACGGCGGCAGTCGCAGAGGGCGAGGGGCTGGACATCGGATTCAGCTTCAACGACCTAGACCTGGGCCTGGATGCTCCCTCTTCCGCCACCACTGACGCTGCTGCCGATGCTGCTGCCGATGCTGCTGCTGATGTTGCCGCGGATGCAGCAGATGCTGTGTCTGCCGCTGCCAATAGTATCGCAGTGCCGGACGAGGTGCTTGACCTGCCCACCACCACGGCTCTTCCAGACCTGCCCAAGTTCTCGTATCCCACCAGGGATGTCGCCCCTTCTTTTGAGAAACCAGGATTCAGCATGCCCGAATTCAAGAAGCCCGAATTTACCATGCCCGAGTTTAAGAAGCCTGATTTCGAGTTCAGCTTGCCTGAATTTAAGAAGCCCGAGTTTAGCATACCAGACTTCCAGAACCGAGAATTTAGCCTGCCCGAGTTCAAGAAGCCCGAATTTTCGCTGCCCGAATTCAAGAAGCCCGATTTTGCGCTGCCCGATTTCAAGAAGCCCGAGTTTTCCCTACCCGAAAACCTTTCAGACCTGAAGGCGCCTTCCTTCTCCCTGCCCGAATTCGCCAAGCCAGAATTCAAGCTGCCCGACTCGTCCGAGCTCCCTCTCCCTAAAACTGACTTCAAGCTGCCCGACCTCCCCACCCCAGAATTCAACCTGCCCGAGATCCCGCTTCCATCCTTCCCCATCCCGAGCCTCCCCTCGCCCTCGAACCTCCCCGTCCCGAAGCTAACCGTGCCTCGGGCAATTTCCGAGCCTGTGGAGAACGCGGTGGCGGCGGCGACCGCGTCGGTTGCGGACTCGGCGGCGGCGGCGGCGGCGGTGGCGCAGCGCGAGTACCTGGCGGCGTACTCGGCGCTGCGCGAGACCGTGCCGGCGGACGCGCTGCCGCTGGTGGAGAAGGTGGAGGCGAACCTCGCTTCGCTGTGGGACGCCGCTAGCGGGCTGACTAAAGAGGTGGCATTGCAGGTAGGTGAGGTTTTAGCATGGCAGATGAGTGTAGTGCCGGGTGTGGATCAGGGGTTCACGAGCGTGAGTGGCAAGGGTGGCGGTGTGGCGCCCTGCCACCGCTGCCGATGATGGAGAAGGTGGAGGCGAATGTAGCATCGCTGTGGGACGCCGCCAGCGGACTGACTAAAGAAATTGCGGTGCATGTGAGAGTAGTGGGGTTGTGGTTCGGGGAGTGAGGGTGGAGGCGCGCACGTGTGGGTAGTGGCGGGTGTATATCAGCGGGTCGAGCGGCGCCCTGCCATCGCCACTGTGGAGAAGGTGGAGGCGAACCTGGCGTCGCTGTGGGACGCCACTAGCGGACTCACCAAGGAGGTGGCCGTGCAGGTGAGAGGGAAGGCGGGCAGGTGAGAGTAGTGGCAGGTGTGGGTGGAGAGTCGAGTGGCGCCCTGCCGTTGCCGCTGGTGGAGAAGGTGGAGGCCAATTTCGCGTCCCTGCGGGACCCCGCTACGGGATGTGAGGGCTGGTGAAATGGCCGTGCAGGTGAGAAGAGAGCCAGGTCTAGTCTAGAGCGCCACGCGTGCGAGTGAGAACCGAGGTGTACAGGTGAGGTAGGTGTTTAGGCTCGCTCGCTCCTCCCCCTCCCCTCCTTCCTCTGCCACCCCCTCCCCTCGCTCACTATCTCGCCCCGTCCTCAGGTGGCGGTGCTATCAGCAGCGGCGGTGAGGGCAGCGTTTGGGGCGGCGGGCTTTGATGCGGATGACACTGTCGTGGCCGCCACTCTCATCGCCACCGGCACGCTGCTGCTCGGGTAAGCATGCGGTGCTGAGCGGTGCTGTTCTACCTGTCGTTTCCCTTGATGCCGCTTGATTGATGGTTCATCAAAGGTTCGCCTTGCCTTGGGCGCTCCTCGTCGCTGCTCCCAGTCCCTTATTTCGCTCCTATTCCAGCTCATCCCACTCGCCCCCTCTCCTCTTGCACCTTCGTCCCTGTGAGAGGACGAGGCACTCATTGCAAGCTGCCCTCTGCCTCCTATCTCTTCCCTCACCCCTCTCCCTCCCCATCCCCATCCCCGCATGGCAGAGTGGCGTATTGGAGGGCGGCGTATGGAGGGTATTCGGGCAACCTGTCAGCAGAGGAGGCACTGGAGGTGCTCAAGGAGAGCAAGGCCGTGCTCGTGGACATCCGCCCTGAGGTCAGATGGATGCCCCGTGCCCCCTGCCCCATGCATACCCCATGCCCCATGCATACCCCATGCTCCATGCCCCTGAGGTTAGAGGGCAAGGAGAGCAGTGCTCGTTGACATCCGCCCCGCCCCAAGGTGAGAGCTATGCCCAGTGCCTCATACCCCATACATTCCCCATGCCCTTGCCCCTTGCATACCCCATGCCCCACGGCCCATGTCCCATGTCCTATGTCATATGCCCCATGCCCGTGCCCCGTGTCTCGTGTCCCATGCCCCATACCCCATGCCCCACGCCCCATACATGTCCCATGCCCCATACCCCATACATACCTCATGCCCCACACCCCATGCTCCATGTCACATGCCATATGCTCCCCATGCCGCATGCCCCGTGCCCTCGTGTCTTGACGTTCCCCTCCTAGACCCTGCTCGCTCTCACCTCCCGTCTGTCGCCCACGCCTCACCTCCCCCCCTTATTCCCAAACGCCCGCAGTTTCTGAGGGACGAGAATGGCATTCCTGACCTGCGCAGGGGGGCGCGCTTCAAGAGTTTTAGAGTCGACTTATAAATCCCCTCTCCCTCGCACCTCACCTCCCCCATCTCCCCCAACTCCCCCTCTCCCCCCCCCCTCTGTGCTGCAGTTCCTGAGGGACGAGAACGGCATCCCTGAGGTGCGCTTCAAGTGTTTTTGAGTCGACTCATAAATCCCCACTCCCTCGCGCCCCACGTCCCCCATCTCCCACCAACCCCCCCTTCCCCCCCTCTCTCCCGTGCCTCAGTTCCTGAGGGACGAGAACGGCATCCCTGACCTGCGCAGGGGCGCACGCTTCAAGGACTGCAGCGTCAAGTTCGAAAAGGTGTGCCGCTTGCCCTGCTAGGTGTGGCTCTGTTAGATGCTATAGGGTCTGAGTGGTGGGCTTCCGGCCCTGCTAGACACTGGGGGCTGAACGGTGCGCAACTTATCCTGCTGAGATGCTGAGGGAGGGGTACGGTGGGTGCAGTTTCGTTGGTGCAAGAGTGTGCTGAATGCAGTGATGCATTTGGGACATGAGAGTTCGCAGGGCGTGCCACCCATGTGATGCGAAATAATGCATGCCGCGCACACAAGCGACCACACACACACACACGAACACACACACACACACACACACGCACACGCACACACACACACACACACGCACGCACACACACACACAGAAACACACACACACACACAGGCACACACACACAGGCACGCCCAAACACTCACTAAAATGTTCCCAGAAGGAACCCAACCACGAGGTAACGCATGGCCTCTCTCCCTCATGCCCAGGCTGGTTGCAGACTGCCATGGTTTCACGACCTCATCCCTTTCCTTGTCATGCTCGCATGCCCTCATCCCTTCTGCTCCTCCCCGTGCTGCTGGGCGGCCCACTGGGGTGCCAGGTGGAAGCCCCAACTTGGTTGATCACCTCTTGATTTGTCGCCCAGTCCCATGGCTTGACATGCCCGCACGCCCTCATCCCTTCTGCTCCTCCCCGTGCTGCTGGGAGGCCCCTGAGCCCAGAGGCGGCTGAGTTGACGCCCAATCCTAATCCCAATCCCATGGCCTGGCCTCTCATGCCCTACGCCCTCCTCCCTTGTGTTCTCCTCCGCGTTTCCTCCTCCTCGCAGCTGGGCGGGCCTCTGAGGGGGCAGGTGCGCAGTCCAGACGTGGTGGACCTGCAGCTCATGGCTGCTAAGATCAAGGGCGTCAGAGGCGTGCAGGTGAGCTCCCTTCTTAAGCACACTTGAATTGATCAAGGCCGTGCGGGGCATGCGAGTGTGCTTTCTTTATCAGCAGATCAATGGCGTTAGGGCGTCTAGGTGAGCTCCCTTCATAAGCACGTCTCATTAAGTGCGTCAAGGGTGTCCAGGTGGGATCCTCTTATAAGCACGTCCCTTTAAAGGCGTTAAGGGCGTGCAGATAAGCTCCTTTTGCGGACACATTTCAACTGGGCGATACACATGCAACTTGTCATGATGGCTAAAATCTGGTCAGCTATCGAAAATGCCCAAGCAGAGTTCTTTAAAAGATTATGCAACCTCTCCATGATAGCGAAATGGTTGGGCAAGTGATAAACCACTGCCCAAGACCTTCACTTTCAAAGTTGAACAGACAACGCGTTTGTGACATTTGACTGTACGATTCCCTTCATCCTTTCTTCTGCTTCCACGTGTTTGTATCGGGTGTGACTGTAAGCAGAAGGACACGCAGGTGATAATAATGGACGAGAGCGGTGGCAACCTGGCAAAGGAGATTGCCAGGGGTCTCTCCAGAGTGGGCTTTAAGGTGCGGATTGGGCAGGGCACGGATCACGTAACCCCCTGCATTGGAGCAATGCCTCTTTGAACGCTGCCCAGGTGCCGTGCTTGCTTGGCGCAATGCGCAGTGCCTTGGATTGCAAATGACACATGCTGGGATGAACCTTATGATTCCTCTGGGGCTCCCGTCACGCATTTCTTCCTCTGGGGCTCCCGTCACGCATTTCTTCCTCTGGGGCTCCCGTCACGCATTTCTTCCTCTGGGGCTCCCGTCACGCATTTCTTCCTCTGGGGCTCCCGTCACGCATTTCTTCCTCTGGGGCTCCCGTCACGCATTTCTTCCCTCTGGGGCTTCCCGTCCCACGCATTTCTTCCTCTGGGGCTCCCGTCACGCTTTCTTCTTCCTCTGGGGCTCCCGTCACGCATTTTCTTCCTCTGGGGCTCCGTCGTCACGCATTTCTTCCTCTGGGGCTCCGCGTCACGCATTTCTTCCTCTGGGGCTCCCGTCACGCATTTCTTCCTCTGGGGCTCCCGTCACGCATTTCTTCCTCTGGGGCTCCCGTCACGCATTTCTTCCTCTGGGGCTCCCGTCACGCATTTCTTCCTCTGGGGCTCCCGTCACGCATTTCTTCCTCTGGGGCTTTCCCTCTCACGCATTTCTTCCTCTGGGGCTCCCGTCACGCATTTCTTCCTCTGGGGCTCCCGTCACGCATTTCTTCCTCTGGGGCTCCCGTCACGCATTTCTTCCTCTGGGGCTCCCGTCACGCATTTCTTCCTCTGGGGCTCCCGTCACGCATTTCTTCT